GTTAGCACCCCACAGCGCCCCTTTCGGGTTCCCTATGACAGATTATTTTTAGGCCCATAAACAAAAAAGAGTTCAAACAGATAAGAGAGATTTTGTTCTATTTTGTGAAAAGATAGCTAAGTTTCTGATTAGAATTTTCAAGGGGAGTGCTGAGAACACAAAACAAAGTAGAAAGGCTTTTGTGGTGGAAGAGAAGGCACCACCAACTACCCAGGTATCTGTATCTCCAACGTTGGCTACAATGAAGAAATTTGCAACGCGTAGAGGTCATTGTCTCATTTCGATGTTCAACTTGCGGAAAAGTGAATGTCAATTTTGTAGTAGCGTTAGTAGAAAATTTAATATGGTGATTTAGAATGATAAGAATGTTAGCAAGAGTTATCACGTATGATGGATTTTTTTACTCACATGGTGGATGATATTTATGATTACCAAAAACAAGAAAATCAAAATAATGATACATGTGGAAGTGTGTAACTATTCATCCAACAACATTTTTTTGTATCTACCTCTGTTTATCTCATAATTTATTACATTTCAAATTTATTTTTTCTTTCTATTGTTTACACAATCTGTTATATAAGCATCATTTTTATTAAAATAAAACTATTTATGAAATTGGATTTTAAGCAAAATATAGTATGTAATTTGTTTGGTGCAAACAACTTAATAGAACCTCTTGAAGAAGATGATTGTTGTTCCTCCTTCAAGCTCCACCTTAAGACATCCTTTCTTCTCTTGAGGCCTTGAACACCAAAAGGAAGCAATGATCCAAGCTCCAAAGCTTGGAGAAGCAACTATATGGTTCGGTTTCTCCTTGAAGGTGGAGAAACTTTAGGAATCGAACACAAAGGAGGAATTCCTTTGTGGAGTTCTTAAGGAGAATGGAATTCTCCACGGTTTGAGACTCTTGAAGGAGAGAGAATTTTTAGAAAAAGTGTTTACAAATGAAGGTTTTGAGAATTTATAGAAGTAGGAAGCTTGTGGAGGAAGCTAAACTTGACCATGGTTCAAGTAAATAATGGTTGGCTTAGTCTTGACAGGCCACCCTAGTTTAGGAGGCTTGTGGGGCAAGCTTCTACCTTAGCTTGCTTGGAAAGCTAAGTTAGAAGCTTGTAGCACAAGCTTCCTAAAGCTCCAAGGTGAAGAGAAGCACTTCGGCCATAGAAGGGAACTAGGCGGACTTAGCTTGTTCTGGCTCCTTGAATCATTTCAAAAATTGTGGATTTGGTTTAGTTAGGTTCATCCAAAATTGATGAGACCTAGCTAAGTCAAATCCTTGAAAAATTAGGAGCAAAACAAGTTTAATATGTAAAATTTTACCTAAGCCCAATTCCGACCCAATTACTAGTCACACCCTCAAGCATTGTTAAATGCCACCCCACTTCTACTATTGAAAAAATAGAAAAAGAGTAACTTTCAATACAAAGTTAAATGGAGTTAAAGTCTCCGAGTAACCTACCCTAGAAACAATATACAATGATCTATAAAAAAAAACAAAGTGCTTCATAAATACAAAGACAAAAATAAGCCTATACAAGGA